ACCCCCCGTGTCCTTCAAACTGTGAAGTTTTTGTAATCTATACTTGAAATACTTAAATTAACAGTGCGTGGAAGAGAACTGATACTTTACCAGGACACAGAAAGCAAGTCCGGTCGTTTCTGAGCAATTTGAAACCTCTTCATTCCTGTTTTGGTTTCTCTCTTTAAGTAAAAGCTTTTATAGGCTTCTCGTGAAATCGGCCGCATGTAGTAGAAATTGTAGCCTTTTGGGTTGTTTTTTGTGTGGTTTTTTAGGGATATTTTTATCTTCATATAAAAAGTTAAATGCGTCTAAATTCTTTTCTATTTTAAGAGGAGGAGTTAAACAAGGACCAGCCGATGCACCGTATCAAACTCTACAACTCAGTCTTGATTGTCATAATTTATTCAGAAGTCTGGCATTCTTTTATGATGAATTGCGGCACTTACATGACCAAAATTGAGTCGATAGTGCCGTAAAACACCTACTCAATCAATCGAATGGCAGCGCTGATTTCTTTAGTTGAGCTCTGTCGGCAACTGCCGTTTGGGACATGATTTTAAAGGTCCAGCCGCAGAGTCACTGCCTTTCACACCAATGCTAGTTTGTTTCGTCATGAAAGTTGAAACTAACTTTCTTACTGCTGTCTTTCAACCACATCCCTGATCTCAGAGTAGGTAAAATCTAACACCTAGCCTTCTCGGATAAGGGCGGAAAAAAACCCTCCGAAGTCCCTTGTGCAAGTTGTGCACTTTAAAGGTCACTTGGTGGTCCTAAAATCGATAAGAGTAGGCTTTAGCCATCATATGGACAAAGTAAAAAATTAATTCCTATAACATTGAAAATGTTACCGAGCGCCGTAAAATACTGACCAAAATAAACCCACCTCCCTGGTTTTGATGGCGAAAGCCAGGGGTAGTTGCTCTTAATTATCCTTTTCATTTAGTTTTAAGTTTTATTAAAAGTTTTTTTACGGCATTTCCAGCATAATAAGGTCACACAAGAGCCGACCCTTTTCATTAATTAGAGTAAACAGATAGTGAATGCCCCATACCCACTACATTAAACACATAGCTGTCACAAAAAAGTAGCCAGACCTCGCGGCACTCACTACAATGAACAAATGGACACCACTTTTTTTGAAAAGATAAACAACAATCGCCCTCCCCCCCCCCCTATAAAAAATAAATACATAAGTTTTTTAAAAAAATGTTATTTTCTCTCATGAAACAACGTGTTGGTGACTTTGAACCGCAGACAACTGTCATTGCTTCATACCTTATGCCTCACGTAACAAAAGGCGTCCGTCCTTGCAATACTTTTACTCTCCCAAAGCATGAGGTTCATCCCTCATTCTGCCATACCAAACAATATCATACTAGACATACTCAACAGTATAAGAACGTTAAAAAAGACTTTTTCCCGGTGTGCAAGTTGCGCACATTAAAGATCCCTTGGTGATCTAAAATCGGCAGGAGTAGGTTTCGGCCGCCACCCGGGCAATATTGAAAGTTTCCTACCTACTGAAAATATTTGGTGTGTCCCACGCGCTCATATGACCTTATGCAGTTGCGAGCGCCGTAAAACACTTACCAGAAAAAAGACCTTTAACCTTAAGTTAAGTAAACCCCTAGCTTGGAAAGCAATCACATTTTTAATTAATTGCGTGTCTGAATTAAACTTTAAAATAATACTGATGTCTGGTTTATCCTAATTATCAGATCTGCATAGTTTATCAAAATTTAGACACTGCAGAGAGAAATTACTTCTTTTAAAAGTAAGCATATTTACACCCCCATCGGCACGATTTAGGAGGCCCGCTTGCGTATCTGCCTGTCGGGGCTATCCCGGGCTGATAGGGATACAATAAGAGCAACAACAGAAAGACAATATGAAATTCTCCCCACTCAGGAATCTAACTCGGCTCGGAGGCTCTTGTGGCCTAGAGGTTAAGGTGTTGGCCTCTCATTCAAAGGTCCCTGGTTCGAATCCGGGTAGCGACCGAAAAATTTTCTTCTCTAAATTTGTCTCCTTTCACCTCATTTCATGCTCTCTAGTAAAGTTATATCGTCTGCTTTCGTCTCCTCTTTCTGCCCCCACCCTCTCACCTCCTTTGCCCCTTCCTCTGGGCTCTTGATTTTTTCTGCAGC